TCACTAGACAAAATGATTACCCCTGTTACTGACTTATGTAAGTGATTCCGCTACAGTACTTCCCCACCAGTGAGTCGGTGGATAGGCGAACGGATGATACGTATATATATGCCAGCGTGTGAGTTGTTGCTGTTAATTGGAGGTGTTGTGCCAAGTGAGTCTGACGCGACTTAGGTTGCTGCGTCAAATGGGTCTGACAATTTTTTTTATGCGGGTAAATGGCGCCACGATAGATCCAGAAAGTTTTGCATTTTCTATTTTGCATTTTACTCTTGCTGATCTTCAAACAAAAAATAAAAACTTTGCTCACATATATAGCGAACCTTTTCTATCTATCTTGGGGGCCACATGTGCTGTATGTTACAGAGAAAGGTGTAAGTGGTTCTATGAAGAAAATGATTGATTTAAACAGGTCGCGCTCGAAGTTAGAAAAAAGTTTCAGAACCCCTGTTCTAGAGAAAACTCTGAACGAGTATTGTGAGAAACTGAATATAGTATTCAAAACTTTCGACACTAAAAACTTTATAGTAAAACATAAAAAGTAACAAATAGTAAAATTTTAAGTCAATTCCTATTTAGACCCCAACAAGAAATTTTTTTTCTCTTATATATTCATTTATTAAATAGTTACAATTAATATAAATACGTAGTTACATATGACAGAATCATAATATTAAATGCCAAAAAAAAGCGATTTTACTAGCAATTTCCATTTTCCTTTCTATATATAGTGTTGAATTATTTTTTGTTTGATTGTTTCTGTTTATTCATTCATTTCATCGAATTATTCTAATAAAATAATATTGTAAAAAAAATTACATTCTCAGAAATTACGCGATCCCAGGTGGAATTCTAACCCACGACCTTTGGATTAGAAGTCCAAAGCGCGCGCGCTATCCATTTCGTTACAGGGACACAACGAACGAGTTTCCTTTCTATAACAATATATATAGACATAGATTAAACAATAGTAGGAATGGACTAAATTCATGTGACGTCACAGTCACGTTTTTCAGCCAATCAGCTCATGAAATTAATTCGACGTCATAATTATATTAAAAATGCAATCACGCGTTTCCAGCCAATTAGTTCAACTGTTGCCAACTTTTCACTTTTTGCTGAAACTTTCTTCAGTACTTATTTGTCATAGCTTATTTGTTTGTATTCAGTAAAAATTACTTATTTTTCAACTATATAATAATGCATATAGCTAAACAAAAGTGTTCATATAATGTTAGGGGTTTTTTATTTTAATTTTGAAAACTGTTTGAAGAATTTTTACACGTGAACTCTTTACCCAATCATCAAATTTTTAAATGTTATTTACACTTTACAAGTAGAACAACTAAGTGTGTCAATTTTTAATCAATGGAAAACGCATAGTTCCCTTTATCATGGGACCATCATGAATTTAGTCCATTGAATAAAATGCCCCACATACACCCACATTTAAATAAAACCTGTTTGAACAGGATATCAAGCAGAGCAATATATCGTTTGGAAACTTTTCGTTTCATAAGTATTTGTCTCCCCTGAAGTTTCGTTTCAGAATGAAAACATTTAATCTGTTCATCGGAATTCAAATGTATATATATATAGAACTTCAACTTCGTCGAATAAATAAACTTCATAAATATATCGAATTCAAACAGAAACGAAATGTGATTAAAATTTGAAACTTTAAATATTTCGTCATCCCAAAGGACGCATGCTTCAACCAATTCCATGTATTTAAGCGAAAACATTCTTCAGCCTGCGAATGAATGTATCATTATCCATTAAGAACATGTTTTGATACTTTCAATTGAAATATTTACAGACGTCAAGGAATATGCACGGGTTGTCGCTAGAAATCGATTCTGTGTAGCCTTTTCTCTCCCGATTGGTCCATTCCAAAAGGAAACTGGAATGACCCTAATTCATTCCTTCTCTCCGGAAACTTTTCCCGGAAATCCTGCGTCCGGATCAGTGCTCTATTTCACTGTAAAAGAGTTCTTAATAGAGGTAATTTAAATTACACGACAACAACGCGAACCCTTTCAAATTGGGTTAATTACACTAGCTTTCACTTTCTTGGAGTGTGTTTGAGTTCTCCCTTCCCCAAGAGAAGCGTGTTTAATTACTTTAGCTTTGAGATGGAACTCGAATTGATTTTTTTAAATTCAGGTATTGGAGAGACATGGATGGAATACTCACTGGAAATGTATATACATGAAAAACCTGCACCGATATTAAAAATTACATCAGTTATTTTTAAACTGCGTTACATTACGATGGTAAGTGGAGTATTGACAGTATACTTCTCTTTAGAATTAAAAAATCAAGTCTCGTATTAAATTTTGTGTTATAAAAGATGTATTTAAATTTAGATTTTAGAAAATATCTTTTCTTTTGAAAAAAACACGCCTTAAGATTTATATAATCCATATTATAAATTCTTAAAAACTGTATCATATTTATTTAGATATAATATAAATCCGTTTATATTATTTATTTTATATACAACTGACCATTAAAGTTGCGGCACAAGAAAGCAATACGCTACAACGTGACATTTTACAAGACAAGAAGATGCTATAATATGCAAATAATTAACTTTTCAACGTATTTCGGTAGGGAACATGTTGTTGTGGTTTCTGATGTCACTTGTTCAACGATATTAGATAGAGAGCCCACTTTTAACTCATCGTGACAAGGAGGCTAGTATTAAGTCTGTAGTTACCTACAGCTTTGAACACTATACATGTGACAGTATTATTGCTTAAATGAAGAAATTGTACAGCAGGTTTATCACATACAATTGTATTTGAATGTTGTTGCCTAGTGAATAATTGTTGTGAGACCTCATGTAAAAGGAGAAATGTTGAGGTCAAACTTTGAGGCCAAATTGTAGCCTATCGAGTTTGCGGCTTATAAAGGGTGTTTTTTGAGAGGTATAGAACTTTAAATTGCAATAAAACAACGATGTATTATTCGATTGACATGAATTTTTTTATTCGAAAGATAATCTTGTGGCATTACATTTTAAACATGATTTCTGGCATAAGACTGCCACGGCTGGCTTGGATGTAGTCAATCTGGACGTCCAATTTTCGATGACTTTTTCCAACATTTGTGGCCGTATATCAGGCAATAACACGGCGAATGTTGTCTTCCAAAATGGTCAAGCGTTTGTGGCTTATCCGCATACACCAATGACTTTACATAGCCCACAGAAAATGGTGTAGCGGTATTAAATTGCAAGATCTTGGAGGCCAATTCACAGGTCCAAAACGTGAAATTAGGCGGTCACCAAACGTGTCTTTCAATAAATCGATTGTGGCACGAGCTGTGTGACATGTTGCGCCGTCTTGTTGGAACCACAGCTCCTAGACATCATGATTGTTCAATTCAGGAATGAAAAAATTAGTAATCATGGCTCTATACCGATCACCATTGACTGCTGTAACGTTGTGGCCTTCATCGTTTTTGAAGAAGGATTCCACCAGCCCATAAAAGCGCACCAAACAGTCAGTTTTTCTGGATGTAATGGTGTTTCGACATATACGTGTGGATTAGCTTCACTCCAAATGCGGCAGTTTTGTTTGCTGACGTAGCCATTCAACCAGAAGTGCGCTTCATCGCTAAACAAAATTCGCTTATGAAAATCGCGCGACGACCATTATTTTCGAAATAAAATTGCAGAATTTGAAACGTTGTTCAGGCGTGAGTCTATTCATGATCAATTGCCAAACCAAACTGATAATAAATCACTTGACAGCTTGTTAAATCGGTCGCCATCTTGGAAAGTACGCATCGCTTGAGCGTATATATGGAAATATACCCAGCCCAAAGCAGAACTTTTCGCATATCAGCAGGCATGCTTTATTTGTCGGTTGCATTTCCATGGTACGTTGTGAGTGAAGTCGATCATTCGCGTCAGTCGACACTTCTCCACTTCCCCCAATCGACTTCCCATCACCCTGCCCGGAGATTTGGAGCTCATTTGTTTAATTTTTCGTAAGCTTGAGTTCCCATTGCTTTTTTGGTTTTATGTCTACAAAGCGCGACATTCAATTTGCGCAACTGTGATATCTTACTACTCCATACCGATTGGATGCAGATAATAGATATGAGAATGTTTTGGAAATCGCCATCCCCCGTTGTGAGATGGCATATATCCTCACAGAGCGATGACTTAATGAGCAGCACGAAATATTGCCGGAAACCATTCCCGCGGTCTCCAATCATGCCAGCTGAAGACCATTGTGGTTTTTCAAACATTCATAAACGTGAAGAATTTTCCACTTTTTTGTAGACAGGTGACCCCTTTCTTCGTTTTCCAGAATCGCATCCTTTGCGAGCTGCTCCGCATCAATACACTTTCCTGTTTTGTACTCTATAACGGCACACACACCAACACGAGAAGAGAATAGCCGCGGGTTTCCATGTTCCATCTCCGCTGGTTATTATATCCGGAAGAGTTTGTCAGGGGAGCCCTCGTCCAAAGCTGCACTTTGCATGGAGAAAGCACCTGCGGAAACTTGCTTTACCACAATTGTATGTTTGTTTATAAATATGTTATTATAGGATTTTCAGCAGTGGAGGGCGGAAAGTCCATGACACCACAGAGAGTTGATCATTGCTGCATGACCCATGATCCAAGTTGATCCTCGTTGCGCGTACAAGGCGATCTGTTTGTTTTCCGGAGATATTTTCTTTTGCCGGCATTTTTTGGTATTCCTAAAGCAGAACACATGAGTCTTTTTGCAGTTCTTGCATTCAATCGAAAAAACGCTAGACAAACCTCTAACACATTTTTCGCGATAGTTTAATATCACCACCACATTTTGCAGAAGCAAAGGTTTTGAATGTTTGATGAAACATGATAAGTTTTCATCCCGAACACTCTAATAGCCGTCAAACCGTCATCATCAATCAGTAAAAGAAGATGAAATCGAGCATGCTTGCAGCCGTAAGCATCTTTCCAGATGCTACTGTTGTTTGGTGACTCCCTCATCCCACAGCTGTGTGCAGCTTGCATCTGGTAGCCATATAACGCCAGCAAACTACCCTTTCTGGGGGCCGTTTGCCAGTATGTCTCTTTGGCGATTCAGTCCCGAATTCAAATCTACTCGAGGGTTTATAAAAGAAATAATGTTTACACTAAAGGCTTATCTTAGAGAAATAATAAAGATGCCCGGTAATGAAAATCAGAAACGAGCGAGTATAAATTCAAGATTCGCTTTATCGAAACAAAGTAGAGTAGAAGTTTATAAAGTTAGTAGAAGTTTAGTTAAATATTCAGAACAACAAATAATAATATTTGAGGCTTAGATTCAAGCATTTGATAATAATTAGAATGAAAATATTAGAAACAGAGAAACGCAGCTGTCACCAGCGACATGACAGCTGTCACCTGGAGGCAAAATGTGCAAAGCAATATTTAAATCGCCTTTT